TCTGAAACCCGTTTCTAAATGCAGCGCTGCAATGTAGCGAACCGTTTCTAAACGTTTGCTGCAAGAGGTCGCTGCAGCGAAGATAAAGCAGCTTTTACGTCCGCTACACGTGTAAAGCAAAATGGACGCTTGTGTGTATAATACGATATTATGCTGTAAAAATAAAAAAGTCGAAGTGACTGTTGATAAAAATATTATGGAAAGATTAAGAAGGATTAAATTTTATGAAATGACTCTGAAAGTTATCTAAAGAATAAGAAAATACTATATTTTAAATATAATTATATCTTTTATCTTTTTACTTTGTTCACATTTATGAAAAGATAAATACTCGATTCTTTATATCTCTTTATTTAAATATTGTAGTTCTTTAACTAAAGCACTATTTTCGGCTGTAACTGGAATTAAAGGATAGATTATGACGTCCGTGTTTCGCTCGAGCGGAAAACGTTTCTAAACTATGATGCAGCGACGTGTAGCGATAGCTGCTCGTGACGTCATTTACGCTGCACTCTCGCTGCATAAAGAAACGCAGCCAAACGTAAAATATTTGAGCAGACCAAGACGTAGCTAAAGATTGCAGCGCCACAGCACTGGCGAAAATTTAAATTTGCCGACTGGAATTCTTTCGGATGATTGACTTTCGGATAATCGACGCTCTACTGTATTAATAAATTACTCAGAATCTGATGACAGATGATTCTGTGTTTGCCGGTAACTCTTTGGCATCTGCTTCACTATCATTAATTGGATTGCATTGTCAGATGATCTGATTCGTAGTCACTGTCAGGAAGAAAAATGTCATCATTGGAGAAATTATAATTTTTCTCCAAAAGTTCTGAAGATAAATTCTCATAAGCAACAGGATAATGATATAAGTCATTTTATATTTATTGAAATAAAATATGTCTCAGACATCTTTTATTTCAATAAATATAAAATAACTTAAATTATAGAAAATTTTAGATTCTAGAAACAAAAACGAAAAGCATGGTACTTTATTCGCTGAATCCTCAATCACGTGGAGTTAAAAACCCTCTGCGAGTAGCGCCCGGTGCATGATACACCCCCTCGCTACGCCACTGATAACAACACGACTGTACTGTGATAAAGTATTTATAATTACATTTTAATCATGAATTTTTCTGGGTAAATAATCTGGGTTTTTTTCTCATCCAGACCCAAATTTTTTCATATGTCGCGAGTGGCAACTTGCTTTCTACCGTTTCGGCGCTGCGGTTCCGTGTTAACAACGTGTTGTATACTACACTAACTTTTTCGTGTGACAGGTTATACTGTATTGTTAACTTAATAAATTTCTCAAAAAATGAATTTTGGTGCTGAATTAGACGACGATTTATTCGAAACTCCTAAAAATAAGAACGACGAAACGTCTGGTGTATACGAACCAAAGATATATAATAACGAGGTATGTTTCTGTAATAAATAAATGGTGGACTTATATAAAGACTATTTATACAAAGTAGAATCAGAGTTATAAGACTGATTGATTTTTTTATCTAAGAAAATACAGCACTAACTAACAAATCAAACTTTTCAGAATACTGGCCTTGATTATGTACTGTACACATTCATTCCAGCGACTGTATAATTGGAAAAGCAGGTTTCAAGTCCATTTTTCAGATGTTTCAGGGGTATTAGCCATGATCCCTTCAGCATTTAAAAATGTTTTGAAAAGCAACTGCTTTTTAAGGAGTATGAGGTTTACATAATTGGGAATCACAGCTCAATATCGGTGCAAGAATTGCATCGTCTGATCACTTTGGGGGAAAGATGGATAGGTTGGGTTACTGTGTGATGCAGTTTACCATATATGGGATGTTTGTGAATACTGAGATAGTCTGAACTGAATAATTGTATCAAGCATTGCTTCTCTATAAAGTCAAACCCTGGGTTTTGAGTATCTCTGTTTATGAACAAAATTTTGAATGCCATGTTTGCCCCAGTTGCTGAACAAGCTACTTGGCAAGAGCCGTCCACAGATGGTCAACTTCCTATAATTCCTAAGTTAAAGAAAGCCAATGGCCCTTCCAATCGACGATGGGACTACCAATTAAGAAGGTAGTGGTGCAGAGATCTCTTTGCTTCATTAGATACCGTGACATGAACCATTGATAATGTAGTTATTCAAATTATATTTTAATGTGCATGTGAGTAAGATTTGACTTCCATTTTTCTGTACACATTGCAATTGAATTTAAATTGTATTAATTAATAAAAACTGCATTAATTGATATTTGCATAATACAGATGGCATCCAAGAATTTGTGTTGAAAGGTGTTTAACTCAAATTAAATAGCAAAAATTTATTAATATAATATTATCTATATATATAAATGAGTCTGTTTGTTTGTTTGTTATGCACACCTAGGCCATTTGACCAATTGCTACAAAACTGGAAAGTTACGTTCAAATACTTCTAACTTAGATCGTGTCATACATCTCGCACCAAAATATTGATGGATATCTACATATCAGTTAATTTCTTTTGACATTCAATTTTCTAGCTTTACATATAGTGTCATTTAAGAACTATTTAAAGTAAATATAATAATTACAAAAAATATATTACTTGCATATAAGATAAAGTTTTTATTCATTTATCACAGCTTCAAATTCCTAGGTCATCCTGTACATGTGAGTGAAAGATTCTTTGCGTTTTTGCAAATAATTTTTGTGAACTGTGTATTCATATTTTTTACCTGATGCTTACTCTTTTGTATTTAAAAACATAAGTCTTTTATTTGGGTCCTTTGAATCGTTCTTATACATTGTCAGGAGTAAAGATAAATAGAAATAGGAAAAGCAATGCTTTTGAATTGAATTTCAGATTTAAATTCCAAAATCACACAGGAGCACGATATAAGTTTTAATCCATTCCCACATGAAAACAGATGATTATTCATAAATCAGAATTTGGAGAAACTGGTTAGTGTAATTGATGGAGAGTGGATTTGACTGTTGAGAATTGGCAAAAAAAGGTTCCCGATTGTCCAGCTTTGGTTACATGAACAAATTATGTTGTCGATTTTACAGGATTTTTTTTTTAAAGTTTAAAATGCCAGTAATTTTTGCGGGACAATGTGTGCATTTATATTTTACTTGTGATTAAATGAAACAAAATGAGAATTGTATTAATAAATCTAATTTTCTTTATTTTGATCTTTAAAATCACACCTCGTCCTATATGTGAGTAAATACGATATTTTTAAAATTATATCCTGTTATATTCACTTAATTATTATAACAATGATNGAATTGTATTAATAAATCTAATTTTCTTTATTTTGATCTTTAAAATCACACCTCGTCCTATATGTGAGTAAATACGATATTTTTAAAATTATATCCTGTTATATTCACTTAATTATTATAACAATGATATAATGTGAAATAGATGGGCTATTAAGCCATTACTGCATACTGTGACAGGTAGCACATAGCACTTGGATACATCTTCACGGAGTGTAGTAGTGTTTTGCCCCTGTACATCATACTTTTTCTTGTTAGCAAGAGAGTCGTGCTAGTTATGTATCTAACTGCATTCAGGGCAAAATTTTTTAATCGAAATAATGTGACTTTTGGTTTCCATTGGAAGTTCAGATAGTCAGTTGGGCCTCTTGCCCATAAGCTTTCCATATCTGGTCTCTGCATTCATCTATCTAACTCCATTCTTGAGATTAGGAATAGACAGCAGATGGATGACAGTGAATTTACAGATTTACAAGTTTTTCAAAATGCAGCACAATAAGTACCCTTCGGTAACTGAGTGGATAAAACCACCAAACACCAGTAGTCGGTCACACATCACAAATGGACTGGCCATGTGCAGTTTTCTGGGTTGTCTTCACATTAGTAACACCTAAATAGGAGACAGCTTTACATAAGTTTTCCCAAGATGCATCCTCCTTGGCAGATCATATAATATTTGATATATGTATATTGTATCATATAGTATTTGATTTATATAACTACAAAGGTTATCTTAAGTGAGAGTTTTTCACACTGAGTGACCAATCTAACACATTTTAAATTAAAAATTCTTTATTTTTCTACTGTACACAATTTAAAGAAAGTTTAAAATGTGTTAGATTGTTCATTTGGCGTGATAAACCCTTACTTAAGATAACCTTTGCAGTTATATAAATCAAATCTATATAAATAAAAATGTAATGTTCATTTGTTCCTAATAGCTAATCTCTGAAAGTTCTTCACCGATTGCTTTGAAATTTTCACACAACGTTCCATTTGAATATGGGTGTGTTTTTATATAATACTAGCTTACCCGTCGCGCATTGCTGCGATCTCAGAAGAAAGGAAATTCAAGCAAACTCGTTATGATAAAATTCAATTTACATTTTATCATTTTCATTGAAATTTATTATTATTATTCATTTTCATCGGGAAAACATTTCAAAGTGTCGTTTCAATTCTATTTATATATTGGAGTGTTTGTAGATACACGATATTTTTTGTTTTTTCCTCTGGTGCGTACACGAATAAATCGGAAGATTTTTTGACGTGTGAGCCGGCTACATACAGTTGTCCATGCGAGAAGCACGGATTCTCCAAATTTAGCCCACACACTCGCTGCGATTGTCAGAAGTGCGATATTCCCCATTTTTATATATATTTTTAAATCCTTTATAATTTTAATTATTTAATTGCTCCTTCCTCTCTTCCTTGGCATGTTGTGAAATTTCTGATAGTTGGATAATAAACCGTTTTATTGTAATTTGTCTTTTTAAATTATTAGATGATATTAAAATTTGGAAAAGGGGATCCCTAGATCGGTAAAATAGGCGAATTTCCTTCTACAACTTCGGTTGTTGTTCGGTATACAGTTAAAGTTTTAACAAAGTTCGAGCGAATACGTAATTAGCAAAAAAAAGTTGAAATAAAGTGATTAAACAAACATTATTACGAATATCGTAAATAACAGTTCACAAATGCATATATAGAAATATTTTTTGAAGGGGGAAATGGTCTTCACAATTTGAAATCGATCGAACACACTGTGCTCGAATGCTCGTGTAAACGCGCGCCATCTATCGTAGAATAAATGTACTATGCCAAAAACCTTCGCGGGAGTGTATTAAAAAACTTTCCGAAGTTTTATGGCAATCGTACTATGCCACAAACCTTCGCTGGAGTATATTAAACAACTTCCCAAAGTTTCACGGCAATCGGATAAACGGTGTGGTAATGCATGAAGGACAGACAGACACACACACACACACACATTCATTTTTATATATATAGATATACAATGGTACCTCAGGATACAAACACCCCAGCATATGAAATTTTCAGGATACGACATGAAATTTGAACATAATTTTGCTCCACGATACGAACAAAAATTCACCATACGACATTACGTTAGTTTGCAGTGCCATTTTTTATTCACTTCTGTTCATTGGTCTCAGTCCGCGTGTTTGCTTTGTCGTGGAAGGATCTCGCTCGATAAAGGAAATCTTGAGGCATTATCAGAAAGTGACTGATTTTATTGAAAAGAAACATCCCGAAAAGGTTCACACTGGCCGTATTGCTGATCGGAGTAATGACATTTGCCTAAGTCATTTTAGAAACATTTTAAAAAGTAGGCAAAGCCAAATGTATTTGGATAGATATTTTAGCAAGCGACCTCTATCCAGTGAAAGTGCTGGTGGAAGTGAAGGAAAGAAAGCAAAAAGCAGTGAATAAAATTAAAAAAAAAAAGTATAAAACAGAAAATATAAAAATTTAGTGTTAAGTTATTTTTAAGTTATTGTTACATTATGTTATGTAAGTTAAGTTACACTACACTCTCTTCAACCTTAAATAACCAGTAAAATATTTAAAAAATACTACAAACGTTTTCAACCATTATTTCCGGTCTTCTTCAGACAGTGTTGAAGAGAGTGTAGTGTATATTATACCAGTACCTATTTACGAGGGTTGAACATAAGTTAAGTTTTAGTATCATTTCCCTTCTCCCTCTTTGCCACCAGTTTACACCTCCACTGACATCTATTCTCAAAGGTAAAGTGCAAATAAAACTACATTTTTTTTAATCAATTATTATTCTATTATGGTTATTTATACATTTTCAACTATAAAATTCATTTTTCAGTGTTTTCCTTACTAAAGTTTTTTTTTTAATGTACTACTTAGCTTTAATTTAAGTGTGTTTTTCGTGTTGGAATGAATTATTTGGTTTTACATGTAATTGTATGGGGAAAAATGATTCACCTTACGACATTTTCGTGATACGATCTCAGTTTCGGAACGGATTAATTTCGTATACTGAGGTACCACTGTATGTCGAAATTCCCTCCCCTGCAAGTTAATAATAAAAAAAAGTTATTTTCTAATGAAATCTCATAACAGATGGCACCACACACAATTTTAACTTTGTACTACTGT